GAAACGTGGCTGACTGCAGCATGCAAAGCATGTGGGCATAATGTGTAGAGCTGCTGGTGAAACTTCTCAGTCATCCAGGTCAAAGTCAGTCAAAAGAAGTTAAAATCAATCTGCTGAACTTTGTTTCCAAGTTTGAAGACGTTTCTCTTCCATCCAGGAAGATTTTTCATTCAAAATGTCAGAAATAGCGTTTAGTTCCAGGTTTTATCCAGCAGCCCAACAAAGCCTGGTTTTAGTTTAGAAAACATGCAAATAGAAACGGACCCGCTGGACCCGTCTATGGACCCGTCTATGGACCCGTCTATGGACCCGTCTATGTCTCTCAATGTCTTCAGAGACATAGACAGGTATGGGGCTTTGCAGGCTAACAATAGAAGCCAAATGACCCCCATTCTGAACAGCCTGTATTATTGAATTCTTTCTTTGGGGGGGGGGCATTGAGGCTGACTGATGGCTGTGGAGACGCTCTCCTGCTCAGCAGGGATTGAACAGTGACTGACGGGCATCAGCTCTGCTCTCTAAAGGATCCTGCTGGGCGCCTCCTGCTGGGCGCCTCCTGCTGGGCGCCTCCTGCTGGGCGCCTCCTGCTGGGCTGACCCCCACCTCCTCCTGCTCCTCAGGGAAACTCTGTACGGCGGCTCAGAAGGTTCATTCTCACAGGATAAAAGGAAAAATCTCTCTCTGCCTCAACTGAAGTTAATTGGTTCAACGGCTCTGCAGTGTCTGCGTCTGCGACTCTAACCTGGCTTCAATGATAAACACTTAGTTCCACGTGGTGCTTCTTTAATATTCAGTTTATTTTCACAAAGTCATCACCTGATCTCCAACATCTAGAAACAAAGGTGTTGATGGCAGCAGCACAGCTGATATTTCTCTCCAGGATGGAGTCACAGCCAAACAGGAACAGACCAGATGAAGCTACTATGAGAAAAAGCAGAGAGAGCAGAACGTTAGAGATTGAACTAACAGATTCTGCAGAGTGGGAGAATAGAGATAGAATGAAGCAGAATGATGAAAAAGGGGTCCCTATGTCCTCCAGCAGTCTAAGCCTATAGCAGCAGAACTAGCTCAGGATATGAGGTAAATGTTGAATAATAAAATAAATATTGCATAAAATTGAAAAAAATGCCATGATATTGATATATAGATATTGCTATATAGATTAATGATATATATTACAACCCTGAGCAAAACTACAAACTTCTGTTTATGTTTTTGGGGGATTTTATGTGATAAAATGATGCAGTTAAATGCATCTTTTTTGGTAAGAAAATCGTAGTTTGTTAGTAAGTTAGAAATGGTTTACTCCTTTTAACCCTTTATAGGACAAGTTAGCATTTTTGATCCCTTGCATAACCCTTACAAATGGTCTCTCTTCCATAGGGAGCCCCAGGGCAGCTGGGTCATTGCTCACTGCGCAGTGGCTAGCACTCCTGCCTTCCAGCAAGAAGGTTGCGGGTTTGATTCCCGGGGTGGGTTCTCTCCGGGTACTCCGGCTTCTTCCCACAGTCCAAGAACATGAATGTTAGGTTAATTGGCTTCTCTAAATCCTCCGTAGGTGTGAGTGGTTGTTTGTCCTGTTTGTCTCTGTGTTGTCCTGCGATGGACTGGAGATCTGTCCAGGGTGGACCCCGTCTCTCACACGAGACAGCTGGAGATAGACACCAGCACCCCCGCAACACCACTTAGGATTAAGCGTGTCAGAAAATGGATGGATGGATGAAAGATGGATGGATGAAAGATGGATGGATGGATGGATGAATGAAAGATGGCTGCCTCAGGGTCCTTTTTTCCTGAATTTCCGCAGACGTTAAATCACAGGAAACAGTGTTGTCATAGTTTCTGCTGTTGGTCTGAAGCCCTAAAGGGAAATGAGTCACTCTAAGCGGAAAAAATGACCAACCAAAACAATTCCAGGTATAATTAGTCCATCTTTATCTGCTGCTGCGTCACCAGAACATAAACGTTTTCTCTGAAGTCGCTTTATGGTCAAGAAGCCGAATCGTTGGCTTAAATAGAGACGGAGGCGTCTCTCTGGTGGACCTCCAGTAATGACCTCTGCTGGTTGTAGATGTGTAGAAAGTGCTGGAGAGAAGCGTCTCATTTGTTTCAGTAGTCTTTGAATGTAATTAGGGTCGTTTTATTTTACCCTTAGAATAAATAAACACAATAAAAGAGATAATGGTAAATCTATCTTTTAGGCTCTAGTGGCTTTTATTTTTGTTATTTTTGATAATATGGAGACAGGAAAGTTTGTTAGAAGAGACATTCGGCAAAAGGTCAGGAAGGGACTCATAGGGTTTCCCCTAGTGGCTGAAATGTGGTATAACACCCGGTCAGCAGGTTTTGAGGAACAAATTCTCCACACCACAGTGTAACAGACATACGGATCCCCCCCCCCCCCCGTCTCTAAAATCAGGTAGGGTTACGGTAGTTTGAGACAAAGAATTATTGAGATTTATTGTAAAACTATTAAACATAATTAAAACAGTTAGATTAAAATACGCTGATGAAGATTCTCAGTCATCCAGGTTTAGAGTCCAAAACAGTAAAAATAAATTCCTCTGGACTTTGTTTCCAAGTTTGAAGACTTTTCTCTTCCATCCAGGAAGATTTTTCAGTTCAAAATGTCAGAAATAGCGTTTAGTTCCAGGTTTTAGAGTCTCTGAAAAACTCAAGAGGATTTTCTGCCAACACAAAATTCCAGAACATTTCCAACCAAACAGACCCAAACCCCCAGATTCCTCCATCAGCGCTCCGCTCACGAAGGGAATCAATGAGAGCTGTTCCATGTCCATCTATGTTAAAGGAAAATTCCGGTTTTTAACACTTTTAGCCCATTTTCTGTAGTGTCCAGGATGAAATCGAATGATCGACACCAAAATTTTGACGATTGGTCCTGTCTCTGCTTTTTGGCTCATTTAGAATCCCCCCCTGGCTGCTTTAGAATGGCTTCCATAGTGCATGTCCGATAATGTCCTTAAAACAACCTTAAACGTTCTTTTTTTAAAATATGCTACTCACCGGGTCGTCAGCGCTGTTCAATGACGTTCCAAAAAAAGTTTCGTGAAGAAAAAACGTTCCTGTAGTGTTTTATTTAGCATTTTGTAAATCCCATTGAGTTCTGTTGGAATAGTCAATATTCCGCTGCCACCGGAAACGGAAATGGGGCCTGTTTACACAGTTGTAGTCTTTTCGCTTCACTCTGCGTACTCCGACGTCGAGGTGCTAACGTCTCTGCCCTACAATGCAGCGATAGAGTTGATTCCTTCCTGTTATCATCTTAATCCTCATCGCCATGCAGGGGGACCAAGACATCTGGCCCTAAAGACTCCCCTTTCAGAGGCATAGACCAGTATCTGGTAACCAGGCCAACAATGACCTAAACGACCCCATTAGTACTGGTTAGCCTGTTATTTTGGTTCTATTTGCATGTTTTCTATAAAGCCTGGATCTCAACACTAGTCCAGACATTTTGAAAAGAGGAGGAAGCTTCCTGGATGGAAGAGAAACATCTTCAAACTTAGAAAACAAGGTCCAGAGGATTGTTGTTGATTGATGAGTTAGATTAGAACATTCAGTCAGATAATCTGTTGAAATGAGAAGCTGTTTAAACGTTGCAGGCAGCAGATCCAGTAGATGTGACTGCGCCTGTATGCCGATGATCATCTGTTTTATGTCCAATAATCTACTGTATCTCTAAACCAATATTGTTCATCTGGCAGTTTAATCTGAACTCTGAAGGGTAAAGGAAGCCATATTGATGGCTATCCCCCCCCCACAGCTGCTCATTTACAGATTTTATCTCCGTTTCTTCTTCTTTCTATAGGAGAAGCGGAAGCGCTTGAGGTTTAGAGAGGAAATGAGCGCTCCAAGAAGCAACGTTAGCGCGTCCCAGTATTACTGCCTGGTTTTGGTCCAGTGCTCAGAAACCTCATCCTGCCTGTTTCTGATCATATCAGCGGCTGAAGCGAGAGCAGAGGAAAAAGTTTGAACATAAACATCTGAATAAGACTTCTTCCATCCGGGCCTGAGGTCCTAATGACGGGGATGATTCCTAACGGGGAGGGGGCCGGCGGGCGTTTTCTGGGTGTCTGTATCGGACTCTGACAGCAGCAGAACCTGCAGAGGAAACAGGAAAGGCCTGAGCAGCGTGGTGTTGGGACGGATATCCTCTTTTGGAGGCGTTCCCCCCCCCCCTCTTCTCTCTCTCTCTTTATCTCTTCCTATTGTGTCGCCCGTCCAGCAGCACATTCTGCTCCTGGTCGGGCTTTAGCTGCTCGCTCGCCGTTGGAATAGACCCGGATTAGTGTCTCTCTGTCGGCCTAGAGTCGGATCTGAGTGGCGATGTGTTGGCATGGGGACGAGGAGGATGAGGACAGCTCCGAGGTCAGTTTGGTTTCTGCTCCTCTCCGTTTCCATGGACTGACTTGGACTCGTTCTGGAGTCTGATCGTGTCTCAGTGTCTCGTTGAGTCTGTATTTAACTTTTAGGAGATATTTGAAGGTTTGCTTCTGCAGAGCGTAAGGGAAGCGTGTTTTACTGAGGAAACCAGGATAAGAAACACATCAGAGACCCAATGAGGGGAAAATGATCGACAGCCAGACCGCTTGGTCCGTTGTTTGTTTCTTTTGACCTAAAAGCAGCATAATTAATACATTTCTTTACATTCACTGCTTTTAAACGGCTTCTTTCTGATCTTCTTGGCTTCAGCAGATCTTTTTACTGTTTTCTCATCTGTTTCCTTTCTGAGGCCTGGAATATTTACCTAACTGGCCTTTTCCTCTTCGCCCCATCACTATCTCCCTCTTTCCTCCCATTACAGCCCTATCTGGCTCACCATCCCCCCCCCCCCTCGCTCTCAGCTCCACACATTAACAGGTCAGAAGGATTAATGTGGAGTTAATCAACATTATCGTTGCTTCTATCGCCTTTCTTTTTTTACAGCCACGGTTTCCTCTGTCCTCCATTTTTCTTATTTCCTCGTCTTTCTGTTCCAGAGTGATCCGGACGGGCTTTCTGTTCTGGAGCAGCTCGGTTTGGACCAGAACTCCGACTTCTCAGACTCCAGCGTTCAGCAGCTCCTGGACGAGCACCGGGAGAAGATCCGCAGGGAGATCCGGAAGGAGCTGAAGATCAAGGAAGGCGCTGAGAATTTACGCAGAGCCACGACCGACAAGAGGAACGCTCAGCAGGTGAGGGCGGCGTCCTGGGTTCGATACGATCATCCATCAACAAAAACCACCGGCTGTCTGGAAGATGATTTAAGGCGCGGATGACGCCATTTTGATTTCATGGAATTCTGCATTAAAATCAAGCAGCAGGACAAACCAGCTGGTTCTGAGTTATTATGATTCAAACAGGCTAATGCCCGCTGGTAAAAACCGTCTCCATGGTGACGACAGCGGGAGAACACTGTAGGAGCTAGCTTAGTATGCTATAATGGAGATGATTGTTCCAGAACATCCAGTCTGGAACTGGTTTCTGTGGTTGAACCATCAACAAGCTCAGGAGAGGGTAGTGATGCTGAGGGACATGGAGGCGGAGCCATCCAGAGCGGACCTCTGGGTGATGCTAATCTGACCGCAGCGCCGCTAACACAAACGCAAACCCACGGCGGGGAAACATGGCTGCTGCTCCTCTGGAACAGATGGAAGCAGTTATTATTTAATAAATATAAATGAGGATAAAATACTTTTAAATAACTAGATTTTCAAAAATGCTTCCTCCATGACGTTATAAGAACATATCTACTATATTCTTAAAGGTGCAGCAGCTCCATGGGTCCTTCAGCTGTATTATTTCCATGGCGTCAGGCGGCGGCGGCGGTGCTACAGTAGCTTCCTGTAATCATCTGGAGCAGCAGCCATCTTTGCTCTGAGCTCCACATCAGCCTCCGGCTTCCTTCTCAACATCTTTAATGTTTCTGTTGCCTCAGCATCATCTGTGGAGCTGGAATAACAATCCGTCCAAGTCTGCTTCAAACAGCGGCCATTGTTCTCTCTCTGGCCTGGGGGGGCGCTGTAGGTACAGCTGCTGGGAGCGACTTTTCCAGTGAGACGCAGTGGAGCGTCCCGCCCTGAAAGCAGCTCAGGATCATTAGGAAACTTAACGATCCACCCGGAACGCCGTCCTGATGGCGGCTGAAGCTAAAAGCTGCGCCACGATATTACGGCTGTATCTGGATTAGGGCTGCAACCAAAGATTATTTTGCTAATCGATTAATCTGTAGATCATGTTTTCAATGAATCGATTAATAATCGGAAGCCAAAGTTTCCTTAAAGATGTTTTACTAAATGAAACTCAAACTTTTCCACTTGAGGAGTTCTGGATTATAGAGCAGATTAACAGATGAAAACCAGATCTGTTTTAGAATCTCTATACTCCATTTAACTATTAAATGATATCTATATTAGTTGAGGATTATCTCAATAATCTCATTAATCCAACGAATTATTTCAGCTCTAATGTGAATCCATGAAACTTCAGCTGCTGTCCGTCATAAACCTCTGTTCCATTTTTCCGTGGTTCTCCTGAATGCATCACCCTGCTTTCTCCGTCAGTCGCTCGGCGGCGCTACAGTCCCCCGAACGGCAAAAACTATTTAATGCAGGCGCATTGAAATTATTGCATTAATCACTATTGCTATTAATTAACTAATGTTAATTGCTATTGTCATGTTATCAACACTTTCTAATATTTAACACAAAGCAGGAATGATGATGATGATTGATGGGAAATAATAGAATAATGAGGTCAGTAGATTTCCTCATTATTTTCTATTTTTTCTAAAATATTCAGATTGTTGTGAATAAATAGTGATTTTAGAGTAAAGGAAAGAGCAGCTTAGAGCAGTGTGAACAGCACTATATTAATACCATCAGCTTGGTTTTAGTAATATTAGAACTAAAACTAAACAATTAATGTGATTAATTCAGATTAACTGATTGTTGAGATAATAATTTAGTAATCAGTGAATCTTTAAATTAAGTTTTGAGACTTTAAAGCAGAGGTCAAGGGTTAGCGGATCCAGACCAAACCTGATTTAAAACATTTATAAATTACTGCATGTCGTCCGATGACAGTGTCTAATTTCACTTGCTCCTCTTCTCCTGTTAATACGGTAAAGCCCTGGGGAGCGTCCGGCTCCAGGCTGCACGTGATCCAAATGAGCCAATGAGCTGTCAGTCTGGGTTGCTGCTGCTGCTACTTTTAGACACAGCAGGCAAACCTGTGGCAAGCCGGGCGATGGGAAAGAAGGAGAAGACCATGAGAAAAAGAGAGCAGAGAAAGTGTGGACTGCTGGAAGAACTGCGGTGAACTGGTGAAAGAAAAGTGAAATGGCGTGCTCAAAGATGACCCTGCACATTTAGAGGATGTTTGGCTCAACCTGCTGCTGTGAAGCAGGATTCTCCACCATGAACAGAATCAACAATAAATCTGGATCCAGGCTCAAAATGAGCTCCTTGATATGTGCTTGAGAATGGCTTAGTCTCCGGTTAAACCCAGGTTTAAAGCCTTGCAGGGCAGCCTAAAGCCCACTGCCAACATTAAGACAGAAAAAAGAAAGAAAATAACAAACCGTCAGTTCAGGGGTTTGAGAAAATATGGGAATCAGGAAATTATCTATAAACCAAACTGAACGATTGTTGTTCTCTACTTTAAAAAACACTTTAGATTTTAAAATGGACAAATTTTCTATTTTTTATGTAAAAATTAAATGTATAACATGGAGGCATAAAAACCTGATTTTATTTCAGTGTTAAATTCAGTTTAAACTAACAGATCATAATTCAAAATGTCTGTAGACCTTAATGGTTGATGATTATCTTTATTGGGACCCCGATGGTTTTAAATTTGTGGTCCCTGGTCTAGAACATAAGAGCAACCTATATAGAATAGAATAGAATAGAATAGAATAGAATATAATAGAATTTAACTTTATTGTCATTCCACTGTCACCAGTACAGAGCAACGAAATGAATTCTCTGCCTTTAGCCCCTCCCCTTGAGGAGCAGTGGGGGGTTTAGGGTCTTGCTCAGGGACCCAGAGTGGCAGTCTGTGGGAGTGGGGCTCAAACTCACAACCTCAGGATCTAATCTCTATGCCGTAACCAGTAGGCTGCCACTCCCAACTTCCCTTATTCCATAAAATAGATAAACTAATAAAGTAGGATATATTTTGGTTGCATTAACATTTCAGTTGTAATAATTTCCCGTTCCTGCGATCCGTAAAGCAGAATATTTTTCTCCTGCTTTAGCGAAGCTTTAGAGGCAGCCAATAGGAGCAGGTCGGCTCACCTCAGGCCTCCAGGTGGAAGGAACGGCTGCAGCCGGAGGCCATGATCTCCTGAAAACGATCAATTAAAGCTTACATTTTATTGGGAATTCAACAGGAAGTCAGCGAGGGATGTAGATCTCAGGCTGTGGGTCTGTAGACGCTGAAGGAGCGTCTGTCCAACTGGAGAAACTGCAGACGATGTTTAAAGCAACGTTAGCTTAGGAATGAAATCCCAGGATTTGAACATCATCATTTGAACAATCTAATCTGTGTGGCACAACGGCTAAACTCCAGGACATCGTCTTCCACCCGGCTGACGGCCAGGATCTCACCGAGCAACCAGTGGTGACTTTGGAGCAGCTGCAGAGATGCACAGCTCTGGTGGGAGCAATCCGATCGGACCCAGAAAACACTGATAGAGTCTCCAACGGTCCTCAGATCCTATGAAAATCAGTGTCTAGGATTGAACTTAATGCTTTTCTACATAAATTCATTAGACTTTAGATCTTTTCATTTAGAATATGGAGGTTTTTATTCTTCCGGTGAAGTAAGGTTTGTCTTCTAGGCTTGTAGGTAACATCTAGTACGTTTCTCTACCTGCCAGAAAAACAAGCAGAGTCTTCAGGTTCAGCAAAAACAGAAATAAAGGGACCGTGAATCTAGACATGGTGTCATCAGTCTAGGATCATCCTAAACTTAAACCTCTGCTTAAGATCTGAGACTGAAGCCTAACCCAGAGCTCCAGGACTCTGAGGTAAAGAAAATGCTAGAAGGGTCTCATTAAAGTCCAGCTTTTTAATCAAACTCTGTGGGTTCAAGTTTAAGGCTGGATTATTTTTCTAATCCGTGTTCTCATATTCTGAATTATTCTGTCATCCTATTGGCTAATAGATTTTTTTTTTATGTGGGGTCAGAGGTCAAATTCAGGATTAATGAGGAGCAGGAGCGCTTTTAGCTAAATCTGTTGGATTTAAAGAGAGGAGAGTGAAGTCGTCTGCAGAATGAAACCTTCCTCTGGTTCTGCAGGTAGATTTGCTCATGCTGGGGGGGGGGTTTATTTTCTGCTCCTTCTAGGTGGAGAGTCAGCTGCGCACCTCCAACCGGAGGCTGGAGGCGCTGCACGCTCAGCTGCAGGAGCTGGACGCTCACATCGTGGTGAAGGGAGGCGAGGAGAGTAAAGGTTCAGGTACCGCTGCTTATTATCTCACATTTTAACATCTTTAAGGTTAAAATTAACTTTTCAAGATTCAAATTCCAGATTTGCTTTCAGAGGAGATCAGAACATTTTTATTTTGTTTTCAAGTACGTCCGGATGGGGCGGGGGTTGGGCTTCTAACGCCGCTGCTCTAACCCGGTTAAATCTACCCAGGGCAACCAGTCCCACAGCATCATAGACCCTCCGCTTTGCTTCACACTGGGCATGAAGTGCTCCTTGGTTTCAAAGCTACGACGGAGGATTAGGGCCAGTTTAGACTTTTTAAAATGTTTTATCTTGAGAATAAAGTCATGATACAACAACCCGTTTCAGACAGAAAGCTTGGAGCTCCGCCCAGCAGATGATGTCAGACCAGCTCCACCAATCAGCAACCAGAGTCCACTTTGACATCCTGCCCAGTTTGATGCTGCTGCTAAAAGATTTCCTGATTGGTCAAAGCGATGCTAAAGTAGAACTTCCCATGATGCTCCACATTCCTCATTTTAGGGAAGAAAGGGCTTCTGGGAAGAGTTGTTATAAAATAAAACTTGTTTCTTGAAATATTATGACTTTATTCTCTTAAATTTACGACTTTATTTTCGTAATTTAATGACTTTATTTTCCAAATAGAAGAAAAATCCGCCTGCCCCTAATACTCAGTGGAACAAAGCAAACCCAGGATGAGAGCAAACTAGAGCATGAAGACTTTAGGAAAGTCCACATGTTTCTATCTGTGCTGTTAGGAGACAAACGTCCAATAAAGTCTCTAACTAGTTCCTTTAGACTCTGAAAGTAAAGCTTGGATGTTTCTAGACTTAGAAGTTCCTACAGGCTGCAAAGCTGCAAGCAAAGCATTTTTGTTCTCCAAGTTTTCTTCGTTTAAATAATAGAAATGATAAAAAGAAGCGTTTCTGTTTCCCATAAGCAGCGACTCTGACCTCCAGAGGAAACCTTTTCTTTTAGATGCACTGAATTTTTGTTCCTTTGTTCTTTTTTTTATATTAAATGTATTTTCATTGAAAACCTGATTTGATCCGATCCGCTGCAGCAGCGGATCATTTTCCGATGTTAAAAGCTGCTGTTGTTCCTGAAGTGGAATATTATTAGATGCTGCATGAAATTCCCAGTGGAGTCGTTTTCCTTTAGTCCACACCGTGTGAAACTCCATCCTGTTGCTTTTTATATCCTGTCCAACCTTCCCGTCTTTCCACAGATGAGTGTCCTCGGTCTCCAGGGGCCGAGAGCCGAACTTCAGCCCACAAGGAGCGCATCGCCGCCCTGGAGAGGCAGCTCAACATCGAGCTGAAGGTCAAACAGGGGGTGGAGAATATGATCCCCATCTACGCCAATGGATCCACCAAGGTAGAGGAGTCCCCCCCCCCCGCACTCTGGAGGACAGAGGACGTCCCGGCCGTCCCCTGCAGGCTGAGCTCCGTACGGAGGAGGGTTAGGGCCACTGAAAAACTAAAACATCTCTTCCTTCATGGTGTCCATCTACATAAAGATTCAAAATTCTGAGAAAAAGTCAGAATTCTGAAATAATAATTAAAAATGAGTCGTTTTTTATTTTTCAGTGTCCCTGATCCTCTTCCGTAGCTCCAACAGTCTGCTGACTGACAGAAACCGTCTCAGCCTCTGACCTGTTTCTGTTTGACAGGATAAGAAGATGCTGCAGACGGCCCAGCAGATGCTGCAGGACAGCAAGACCAAAATCGACATCATCCGAATGCAGATCCGGAAAGCTGTGCAGGCGACGGCGCAAACGGAGGACACGCAGGGTGGGTCTGAAACGCCACTCCTAGTTCTGCTCTTCATCAGTGGGATTAAACATCAAACCAACTCACAACGCCATGGTAGACCCACGCTGGCTCTGTGGCTTTGACTCTTCAGCAATCCCTCACACTGCAGTATGCGGTGACAGTGGAGAGGAAAAGCTCCCTGTTAACAGGAAGAGGCCTCCAGCAGAACCAGGCTCCGCGTGAGCGGCCATGTGACGTCATGAGCGTCCATGTTGAATGATCAAACCTAGCAAACGTTTAAGATGCGTTTTCTGGCTAATCTGAAGCAACAAAAAGCATCTTGTTAAGTCTGAGCGAGAGCTGAAAGAAAGAGCAGGAGAGAGCTGCAGTTCTGAGTGTTGGCCACCGGGGGCAGTAAACTCTGTAAAGTAAGGCCCAGCAGCAGAGATTGCTGATTATTCCAACGTTTGTTTTTATTTTTTTAAATCTGGATTTCTTTCCAAACTCGTTATGATGCAACACCTCCGAACTGGACCAGTGTGTGATAGCATTAGCTGCTAACGGTTAGCATCATTCATTTCACAGCGTGACCTTTAACCCTTTATGGGGCGTCGGTGAAAATCTACATTTCAAGCCAATAGTTTTCTTGGAATCTAGGAAAAAACCTTATTACTTTTATAACATTCAGAAAATCTGGATATTTGATGGTAAAAAATTTATGTAATAACAAGAAATGGCAACTTACTGGAATATATTAATAAAAATAACAAAACTGCTTCTATAAGAAATTGATGAAAAAACCTCTGAGAGCAAAAGAAACAAATTTTATTTGGTCCAAAATAACCTTAGAGGCATCAATGATGATACTGACAGGTTTTAGTTTATAAACCTAAATATAATTGTTAACTTTTTAACTTTTTTCTTGACTTAACTTTTTTTAGTAACTAACTATTTTAGTTTCCAGTCTGTAATCTATTTGCAGCCATGTAGCAGGACCTATGCTGAATGGATGGATGTAGATCTAGTGCTTCTAGACCTCACTGAGGGGGGGGGTCCATTTGTATGGAGATGCAATGGGTCATAAACTTGTCCTATAAAGGGTTAACTGAAGGTCACCTGACATTGGAAATAAGTTCAGTCATTTTAACGATGACTCTATTGTGCAAAAATCAATCAATCAATCAATCAATCAATCAATTAACCAATCAATCAATTAATCAATCAATCAATTAATCAATCAATCAATCCGGTTCAGGAGGAAAAGGAGCAAAGCCTTGATTTTAGGGACAGTATCCCCCTTTGGGGCCACCTCCTCTGACTGAGGGAGGTGATTTTGGCCAGAGGGAGGGTTCCTTTCAGGCATCAGGACAGACGACTGCGTGGCCTTTTAGGGGCATGCTTTGTTCATCCATGTCCCTCCTGTGGGAAACCTGAATGAAGACTTTCCTGCATCATGACAGGAACAGTGGAGCAAAGCGTCTTCCTTCAGGACTGATGTCTAAAACTCCACCAACAGTCTGATTAATCAGTGCTGCGCCCAAAAAAATAAAATAAAAAAGGAAAATAAAGTTTTCCACTTGTTGCTGCAGTTAATCTTTACAGTTTTATACTGGATGAACTCAGTGAGACGTTCTCTGCTCCGAACACAGATTGAATTAAACTAAATCTAACCTGAACGTAAACACAGACTCTGGTGTTTAGAAGTCCTGTTTAGAGTTAATCTCATGTGTAGGGGAGGGATTATTTTATGATTGTGAGCTGATCTATCTCTATAGTTCTGCTGCTATAGGCTTAGACTGCTGGAGGACATAGGGACCCCTTTTCCATCATTCTGCTTCATTCTATCTCTATTCTCCCACTCTGCAGAATCTGTTAGTTCAATCTCTAACGTTCTGCTCTCTCTGCTTTTTCTCATAGTAGCTTCATCTGGTCTGTTCCTGTTTGGCTGTGACTCCATCCTGGAGAGAAATATCAGCTGTGCTGCTGCCATCAACACCTTTGTTTCTAGATGTTGGAGCTTGGCCTGTTTTCCAGTGTAGTCCTGTTTCTCTGGCTGTGACTAACTGGATGTGCTCTCTTCATCCTCTGACATGGGAGCTGGCTCGGAGCCCGTCTGCCTGGCTGTGTGTTTCCTGGACGGGGCCGCCTGTGGAGCTGGTTGACAGTTGCCTTTTGTATCTATGCTTCTTTTTCTATGTCTGCTTCTGTCTCCTTGAACCCCAGTGGGCCTCAGCAGATGGCCGCTCACACTGAGCCTGGTTCTGCTGGAGGTTTCTTCCTGTTCAAAGGGAGTTTTTCCTCTCCACTGTCGCTACAAGCATGCTTAGTGTGAGGGATTGCTGAAGAGTCAATGAGTCGATGCAATCAGCTGGTTTTCCTTAGATAGAAAACTTTGAATCAATCTGACTGGATGATCTGGTGAACTGGAAAGTGACCTGAGATGACATGATGTGAATCGGAGCTATAGAAATAAACTGAATAGAACTGAATTGGTCCATCATCCCCACAGTAAATCACGGTAGAGTCTCACTGCTGTGTTTATTCAGAGCTTCTCTGTGTTGATCTATAAACAGGATCTACGCTGGTGGAGGGAAACAATAGAACAGCTTGAGGGGTGTGAATACTTTTCCAGGGCGCTGTGTTCTGAGCAGCGAGGGGAACCGGAGCAGCGTCCCCTACTGACCTCCATCTTTGAACCTGAGATCAGAGAAAGTTTTAGCGCCCCCAGTGGAGAGTGAGAAGCAGCCTGTGTCACGCTTATTTACACCATCCTGGGTCTGTTCAGTCTCCAGGCACCGCGCCCCGTGGAAAGGTCGTCCCGCGGGTCTGGGCTCCAGCTCCTTATTAGGAGATGAAAGCGTTCACTCCCCCATTTTTCTTTTTTCAAAGGGTTTCAGCTTTTAAAGCTTTTATTTTAAAATATCACATTAGAATCTTAGGAATAAATAAGAGGTTTTCTAAAGGATTCTTCTGGTAGAAGTTACTACCTGCTGACAGGAAGCAGCCGGTTCAGCTCCGCCTCAACGTTTCCACTGGACTTTTAGAACATAGATGTTCAGTTGTAGATATTCCACACTTGATGTGATTTCATTTTTCCTGTGTGGCCCAGACCATCATGCCCAGGGGGGCCGCCAGGAATCAGCCTAAACAAACGGCTTCATTAATGACGCCATTCCCCTCCGACTCTGAGGATTAACTCTGATGTTTATCCAGCAGATCTTATTTTAATCAACAAGTTAATAATCTGTCGTTAATCTGAACTATTCAGGTAAAAACTTCTGAAATAATGTCTCCTGCTATCAGACGCTTTCTCTCCTCTTTCTCTTCCTTTTTCAAACCCAGACTTTTGGACGCTGCATTTTTCAGCCACAAACGTTTTTACTGTCCTGCTGCTTATTTACACTTTTTCTAGTTGATTTGTTTCTTTCGTTCTATTTAAGTTAAATGACGGCGAATGGCGAATGGCCCTGGAATGAGCGACCTGCCGGCGACAGACGGGGAAACCTGATCCGATGCAGGAGCTGAGGACTAAACCATTTCAGGGAGGCGGGGGTCAATATATCCCTGCTTTGTTTCACTGTTTACTGCTGAACAATGAGGACATGAGGACATGGTGACGGAGACGACGGATCCAGATCATTCAGTTAGATTTAAAAAAAAGTTTATTTCTGTTTAAGTAAACCAGCTGATCCCATCCAGTCACTGACTCTGCAGGATTGGCTCCTCCTGAATGAGGCGGCAGCAGAGGAGCCACCGGGTCACCTCCATGACCTCCTGCTGAACCTGGAGAGTCCCATCTGCACCGATTACTCTGCAGATTCAGGGGGAGGAGCCTAACCCATAGAGATGACCTCATAGCTCCACACCTTCCTCCTCTGAGCAACAGTTCATCTGATTATTGATCAGAGAGTCCAGCTGTGAAATGCTTAATGTGGGCGGTTACCGCTCCTCTGGGCGCCATGATGTCGTTACTGTCTGAAGATTAAACACAAAGCAGCCCAATCCTTTGCTAACGGTGTGTTTGGCCATGCAGGAAACCATGACCTCTGTGGGGTGGAGCTGCGCATCGAAGAGCTGCGGCATCACTACAGGGTGGAACACGCCGTCGCCGAGGGCGCCAAGAACGTCCTCCGGCTCCTCGGGGCTAACAAGGTTCAGGACAAGAAGGCTCTGTCTGAGGTGAGAGCTGCTGATCCTCCAATCGGCTTTAAAGGGAAAGTCCGGTCAGCGAGGAACAATCAGTGGATCCTTATTTATACCTAAAACTAACATGTTGGCGAGGATTTAATGGATTTAGAGTTAATCAGTAAAAAAAAAAAAATCATTTTCATTGTGATCACTGAGTCTGGGAGCGGCCATCTTTGCCCAAATATAGTAGCCCCTCCCTCCTGCCATCTTCCAGCAGTGACGTCACGGTGCGGTAAGCCTAGCGCCATTCTCCCCGCTTTCCAAGCTAAATCAATGGGAACTACTAGACACATCTGCAATCAACAACAATTATTGAAGATTTCCAGAGGACTTCACCATTGAAATTCACCAGAGCTATAGTGAAACTGACTTGGATAATAGCGCGTTGTGACAAACACCAGATACAGCACTGGGACTTGATCAACAGCCGATACCGCACCGTGACGTCACTAACCAGTAGGTGGCAGTAGTGTTCTTTGACATACATGGATGCCTCCAGTAAAGCACATTCACATGAAAATTACTCTGAATTAAAAACACTGATCATTTATTGAACAGGATGGAATCATTTCAGATTTAAAGAACTTTCAGAAGTTTGGATTCTGAATATGAGCGACTTTTCCTTTAATGGATCCAGACCTGCCTTGTTTCATTGCAGCTGCTCATTTAGATCATTTGTGGTTTGATTGACACCTGAGCCTAAAGGCTGATTGGCTGATTTCAGGCCCAGTCCCGCCTCAGCGAGGCGTCTCAGCGGCTGGACCTTCTCAGGGACTCTTTGGACCAGCGGCTGGCAGAGCTGCCAGAGGACCATCCCAAGGCCAGCGTCATTAAGGAGGAGCTGGTTCTGGCTTCCTCACCGGCCTTCAGCTCGCGTCACGGCGCCCCCTACCTGCAGAACCAGTACAGCACCCTGAACAAGCCGTCTCCTCTCACTGGTAGGTCACCTTTTAAAGCTTTCATATATTACAAAGTTAATATTTTATTACATGGTTCAGAACAGAAACAGATCCGACTGATGTGGGATTCTAAAGGCAGATATCGATACTGGGGGCTTAAAAGAATAGATATATATCAGCTAGAATATGAAAAACAACTGAACAATTACAGGATATCCCCTGTCCAACTATAGTCCAACTGAAATTCTCTTAAAAACTCAAAATATGATTCAAAAGAAAGAAACAGAAAATAGAACTATAGTAAACAGATCACTTTCGCCGTCCACCTCCATGCTAACGCTAGCAGCTAGCAGGGGGAGGGGCGGTGTAGGAACCAAACACTGTTCTCTGTTTGTTGTTGTTTTTAAACCAAAGTTTATTTTTGCAGATTGTTTTTAAACTCATGTCTGAACTTCATCAGCCTTTCACTCTGGATAAATTGCATTTATTAGTTTTTGGTGATTCATGCAGATTTAGGCTGTACGCTCTTTCACCTGTACGCTCTGCCACCTGTACGCTCTGTCGCCTGTACGCTCTGTCGCCTGTACGCTCTGTCGCCTGTACGCTCTGTCATCTGTACGCTCTGTCACCTGTACGCTCTGTCACCTGTACGCTCTGTCACCTGTACGCTCTGTCGCCTGTACGCTCTGTCACCTGTACGCTCTGTCACCTGTACGCTCTGTCACCTGTACGCTCTGTCACCTGTACGCTCTGTCACCTGTACGCTCTGTCACCTGTACGCTCTGTCACCTGTACGCTCTGTCACCTGTACGCTCTGTCGCCTGTACGCTCTGTCACCTGTACGCTCTGTCGCCTGTACGCTCTGTCGCCTGTACGCTGTCACCTGTACGCTCTGTCACCTGTACGCTCTGTCACCTGTACGCTCTGTCACCTGTACGCTCTGTCACCTGTACGCTCTGTCACCTGTACGCTCTTTCACCTGTACGCTCTGTCACCTGTACGCTCTATCACCTGTACGCTCTTTCACCTGTACGCTCTGTCACCTGTACGCTCTTTCACCTGTACGCTCTGTCGTCTGTACCCTCTGTCGCCTGTACGCTCTGCCGCCTGTACGCTCTGTCGCCTGTACGCTCTGTCACCTGTACGCTCTGTCACCTGTACCCTCTGTCGCCTGTACGCTCTGCCGCCTGTACGCTCTGCCGCCTGTACGCTCTGCCGCCTGTACGCTCTGTCGCCTGTACGCTCTGTCACCTGTACGCTCTGTCACCTGTACCCTCTGTCGCCTGTACGCTCTGTCGCCTGTACGCTCTGTCACCTGTACGCTCTGTCGCCTGTACCCTCTGTCGCCTGTACCCTCTGTCGCCTGTACGCTCTGCCGCCTGTACGCTCTGTCACCTGTACGCTCTGTCGCCTGTACCCTCTGTCGCCTGTACGCTCTGCCGCCTGTACGCTCTGCCGCCTGTACGCTCTTTCACCTGTACGCTCTGTCATCTGTACGCTCTGTCGCCTGTACCCTCTGTCGCCTGTACGCTCTTTCACCTGTACGCTCTGCCGCCTGTATGCTCTGCCGCCTGTACCCTCTGTCGCCTGTACGCTCTGCCGCCTGTACCCTCTGTCGCCTGTACGCTCTGCCGCCTGTACGCTCTGTCACCTGTACGCTCTGTCATCTGTACGCTCTGTCGCCTGTACCCTCTGTCGCCTGTACGCTCTGTCACCTGTACGCTCTGTCATCTGTACGCTCTGTCGCCTGTACCCTCTGTCACCTGTACGCTCTGTCGCCTGTACGCTCTGCCGCCTGTACGCTCTGCCGCCTGTACGCTCTGCCGCCTGTACGCTCTGCCGCCTGTACGCTCTGTCACCTGTACGCTCTGTCACCTGTACGCTCTGTCGCCTGTACCCTTTGTCACCTGTACGCTCTGTCACCTGTACGCTCTGTCGCCTGTACGCTCTGTCACCTGTACGCTCTGTCGCCTGTACGCTCTGCCGCCTGTACGCTCTGCCGCCTGTACGCTCTGCCGCCTGTACGCTCTTTCACCTGTATGCTCTGTCGCCTGTACCCTCTGTCGCCTGTACGCTCTGCCGCCTGTACGCTCTGCCGCCTGTACGCTCTGTCGCCTGTACGCTCTTTCACCTGTACGCTCTGTCACCTGTACGCTCTGTCACCTGTACGCTCTGTCACCTGTACGCTCTGTCGCCTGTACGCTCTGCCGCCTGTACGCTCTTTCACCTGTACGCTCTGTCGCCTGTACCCTCTGTCGCCTGTACGCTCTGCCGCCTGTACGCTCTGTCACCTGTACGCTCTGTCATCTGTACGCTCTGTCGCCTGTACCCTCTGTCGCCTGTACGCTCTGTCACCTGTACGCTCTGTCACCTGTACGCTCTGTCGCCTGTACGCTCTGTCACCTGTACGCTCTGTCGCCTGTACGCTTTGCCGCCTGTACGCTCTGCCGCCTGTACGCTCTGCCGCCTGTACGCTCTTTCACCTGTACGCTCTGTCGCCTGTACCCTCTGTCGCCTGTACGCTCTGCCGCCTGTACGCTCTGTCACCTGTACGCTCTTTCACCTGTACGCTCTGTCACCTGTACGCTCTTTCACCTGTACGCTCTGTCATCTGTACGCTCTTTCACCTGTACGCTCTGTCGCCTGTACCCTCTGTCGCCTGTACGCTCTGCCGCCTGTACGCTCTGCCGCCTGTACGCTCTTTCACCTGTACGCTGTGTCCCCTGTACGCTCTGTCACCTGTACGCTCTGCCGCCTGTACGCTCTGTCGCCTGTACGCTCTTTCACCTGTACCCTCTGTTGCCTGTACGCTCTGTCACCTGTACGCTCTGTCATCTGTACGCTCTTTCACCTGTACACTCTGTCGCCTGTACCCTCTGTCGCCTGTACGCTCTGCCGCCTGTACGCTCTGCCGCCTGTACGCTCTGTCGCCTGTACGCTCTTTCACCTGTACCCTCTGTTGCCTGTACGCTCTGTCACCTGTACGCTCTGTCATCTGTACGCTCTTTCACCTGTACACTCTGTCACCAGGCACCCTGCAGGTGCAGCTGCTGGGCTGCGTGGGTCTGCTGGAGACGGTCCCGGGTCGCAGCAAAGGTTCGTCCGTCACGCTGCCGTGCTACAGCCCTGGAGACACCAAGTCCTTCATGAGGGGAAGCAAAGGGCTGTACGGACGCAGCGGCTCCGTCAGCGGGAAGACGCCCAGCAAGGTGGAGGAGCTCTCCTGTAAGGCGCTGCATGAGTCACTGGCCAGGATAGACCCTTAATGCTAGATCCTTAATGCTAGATCCTTAATGCTAGATCCTTAATGCTAGACCCTTAATGCTAGATCCTTAATGCTAGATCCTTAATACTAGACCCTTAATGCCAGACCCTTAATGCTAGATCCTTAATACTAGACCCTTAATGCCAGACCCTTAATGCTAGATCCTTAATGCTAGATCCTTAATGCTAGACCCTTAATGCTAGACCCTTAATGCTAGATCCTTAATGCTAGACCCTTAATGCTAGACCCTTAATGCTAGACCCTTAATGCTAGACCCTTAATGCTAGACCCTTAATGCTAGATCCTTAATGCTAGACCCTTAATGCTAGACCCTTAATGCTAGACCCTTAATGCTAGATCCTTAATGCTAGACCCTTAATGCTAGACCCTTAATGCTAGATCCTTAATGCTAGACCCTTAATGCTAGACCCTTAATGCTAGACCCTTAATGCCAGACCCTTAATGCTAGATCCTTAATACTAGACCCTTAATGCTAGACCCTTAATCCTAGACCCTTAATGCTAGACCCTTAATGCTAGATCCTTAATGCTAGACCCTTAATACTAGACCCTTAATGCTAGATCCTTAATGCTAGACCCTTAATACTAGACCCTTAATGCCAGACCCTTAATGCTAGACCCTTAATGCTAGACCCTTAATACTAGACCCTTAATGCTAGACCCTTAATGCTAGACCCTTAATACTAGACCCTTAATACTAGACCCTTAATGCTAGACCCTTAATGCTAGACCCTTAATGCTAGACCCTTAATGCTAGATCCTTAATGCTAGACCCTTAATGCTAGACCCTTAATGCTAGACCCTTAATGCTAGATCCTTAATACTAGACCCTTAATGCCAGACCCTTAATGCTAGACCCTTAATGCTAGATCCTTAATGCTAGACCCTTAATGCTAGACCCTTAATGCTAGATCCTTAATACTAGACCCTTAATGCCAGACCCTTAATGCTAGACCCTTAATGCTAGACCCTTAATACTAGACCCTTAATACTAGATCCTTAATACTAGACCCTTAATGCTAGACCCTTAATACTAGACCCTTAATACTAGATCCTTAATACTAGACCCTTAATGCCAGACCCTTAATGCTAGACCCTTAATGCTAGACCCTTAATGCTAGATCCTTAATGCTAGACCCTTAATGCTAGACCCTTAATGCTAGATCCTTAATACTAGACCCTTAATGCCAGACCCTTAATGCTAGACCCTTAATGCTAGATCCTTAATACTAGACCCTTAATGCCAGACCCTTAATGCCAGACCCTTAATGCTAGACCCTTAATGCCAGATCCTTAATGCTAGACCCTTAATGCTAGACCCTTAATGCTAGATCCTTAATGCTAGATCCTTAATGCTAGACCCTTAATGCTAGACCCTTAATGCTAGATCCTTAATACTAGACCCTTAATGCCAGACCCTTAATGCTAGACCCTTAATGCTAGATCCTTAATACTAGACCCTTAATGCCAGACCCTTAATGCCAGACCCTTAATACTAGACCCTTAATGCTAGACCCTTAATACTAGACCCTTAATACTAGATCCTTAATACTAGACCCTTAATGCTAGACCCTTAATACTAGACCCTTAATACTAGATCCTTAATACTAGACCCTTAATGCCAGACCCTTAATGCTAGATCCTTAATGCTAGACCCTTAATACTAGATCCTTAATACTAGACCCTTAATGCCAGACCCTTAATGCTAGATCCTTAATACTAGACCCTTAATACTAGATCCTTAATACTAGACCCTTAATGCCAGACCCTTAATGCTAGACCCTTAATGCTAGACCCTTAATGCTAGACCCTTAATGCTAGATCCTTAATGCTAGACCCTTAATGCTAGACCCTTAATGCTAGATCCTTAATGCTAGATCCTTAATACTAGACCCTTAATGCCAGACCCTTAATGCCAGACCCTTAATACTAGACCCTTAATGCTAGACCCTTAATACTAGACCCTTAATACTAGATCCTTAATACTAGACCCTTAATGCTAGACCCTTAATACTAGACCCTTAATACTAGATCCTTAATACTAGACCCTTAATGCCAGACCCTTAATGCTAGACCCTTAATGCTAGACCCTTAATGCTAGATCCTTAATGCTAGACCCTTAATGCTAGACCCTTAATGCTAGATCCTTAATACTAGACCCTTAATGCCAGACCCTTAATGCTAGACCCTTAATGCTAGACCCTTAATGCTAGACCCTTAATGCTAGATCCTTAATACTAGACCCTTAATGCCAGACCCTTAATGCTAGACCCTTAATGCTAGATCCTTAATACTAGACCCTTAATGCCAGATCCTTAATGCTAGACCCTTAATGCTAGACCCTTAATGCTAGATCCTTAATGCTAGACCCTTAATGCTAGATCCTTAATGCTAGACCCTTAATGCTAGACCCTTAATGCTAGACCCTTAATGCTAGATCCTTAATGCTAGACCCTTAATGCTAGACCCTTAATGCTAGATCCTTAATGCTAGACCCTTAATGCTAGACCCTTAATGCTAGACCCTTAATGCCAGACCCTTAATGCTAGATCCTTAATACTAGACCCTTAATGCTAGACCCTTAATGCTAGACCCTTAATGCTAGATCCTTAATGCTAGACCCTTAATGCTAGACCCTTAATGCTAGACCCTTAATGCTAGACCCTTAATGCTAGATCCTTAATACTAGACCCTTAATGCCAGACCCTTAATGCTAGACCCTTAATGCTAGATCCTTAATGCTAGACCCTTAATGCTAGACCCTTAATGCTAGATCCTTAATACTAGACCCTTAATGCCAGACCCTTAATGCCAGACCCTTAATGCTAGATCCTTAATGCTAGACCCTTAATGCTAGACCCTTAATGCTAGATCCTTAATGCTAGACCCTTAATGCTAGACCCTTAATGCTAGATCTTTAATGCTAGACCCTTAATGCTAGATCCTTAATGCTAGACCCTTAATGCTAGACCCTTAATGCTAGATCCTTAATGCTAGACCCTTAATGCTAGACCCTTAATGCTAGATCCTTATTGCTAGACCCTTAATGCTAGATCCTTAATGCTAGATCCTTAATGCTAGACCCTTAATGCTAGACCCTTAATGCTAGATCCTAAATACTAGACCTTTAATGCTAGACCCTTAATGCTAGATCCTTAATGCTAGACCCTTAATGCTAGACCCTTAATGCTAGATCCTTAATGCTAGACCCTTAATGCTAGACCCTTAATGCTAGATCCTTAATGCTAGACCCTTAATGCTAGACCCTTAATGCTAGACCCTTAATGCTAGACCCTTAATGCTAGATCCTAAATACTAGACCCTTAATGCTAGACCCTTAATGCTAGACCCTTAATGCCAGACCCTTAATGCCAGACCCTTAATGCTAGACCCTTAATGCCAGACCCTTAATGCTAGATCCTTAATGCTAGACCCTTAATGCTAGACCCTTAATGCTAGACCCTTAATGCCAGACCCTTAATGCTAGATCCTTAATGCTAGACCCTTAATGCTAGACCCTTAATGCTAGATCCTAAATACTAGATCTTTGATGCTAGATCCTAAATGCTAGACCCTTAATGCTAGACCCTTAATGCTAGATCCTAAATGCTAGACCCTTAATACTAGACCCTTGATGCCAGACCCTTAATGCTAGATCCTAAATACTAGACCCTTAATGCTAGACCCTTAATACTAGATCCTTGATGCTAGATCCTAAATGCTAGACCCTTAATGCTAGATCCTTAATGCTAGACCCTTAATGCTAGATCCTTAATGCTAGACCCTTAATGCTAGACCCTTAATGCTAGATCCTTAATGCTAGATCCTAAATGCTAGACCCTTAATGCTAGACCCTTAATGCTAGATCCTAAATGCTAGACCCTTAATGCTAGACCCTTAATGCTAGATCCTAAATGCTAGACCCTTAATACTAGACCCTTAATGCTAGACCCTTAATGCTAGACCCTTAATGCTAGATCCTAAATGCTAGACCCTTAATACTAGACCCTTAATGCTAGACCCTTAATGCTAGACCCTTAATGCTAGATCCTTAATGCTAGATCCTTAATGCTAGATCCTTAATGCTAGATCCTTAATGCTAGACCCTTAATACTAGACCCTTAATGCTAGATCCTTAATACTAGACCCTTAATGCTAGACCCTTAATGCTAGACCCTTGATGCTAGATCCTTAATGCTAGATCCTTAATGCTAGCTCCTTAATGCTAGACCCTTAATGCTAGATCCTTAATGCTAGATCCTTAATGCTAGATATGCAACAAATGTTTGGCAGTCTGTGAATTCCTGCTAATGTTAATAATTAATAGACTTTTAGGATAGAAATGCAGCAGCAGTCTGTTTAACCAGGAGGCAGTGGTTCACAGAAACACCAAAGAAATCAAAAGATGTTGATTAAAGCTTCAGAAAAGACTTCCTGACTTTTATTTCAACAAAGTCAGATTAAAAGACTAGAATCAGCAGATCTATCTGCAGTTCTGTGCTACAGGAAGTCATGTCTGCTGCTTTTAGCTGAGGTTAGCGCCGTGCTGAAGCTGGATAACACGGTGGTGGGACAGACGGCTTGGAGGACGGTGGGAGAGCAGGCCTGGGACCAGACCTTCACTGTGGAGCTGGAACGGGTTAGTATACCCCCCCCCCCCCCCCCCCCCCCCCCCCCCCAGAGTAAATGCATCGTAAAAAACGAAGGAAACGACCGTGTGTGTTTCAGTCCAGAGAGCTGGAGATCGCGGTTTACTGGAAGGATTATCGCTCGCTGTGCGCCCTGAAGTACCTGAAGCTGGAGGAGTTCCTGGACAACCAGAAGCACCGAGTCCAGGTGGAGCTGGAGCCTCAGGGCCTGCTGCTGGCTGAGGTACACCTGGATGAACCTTTATCACAACATCCTGTGCTTCTCCAACGAGCTGACGCAAACACCTGGGCTGTTTCCAGGTGACCTTCTTCAACCCGGTCATCGAGAGAGTCCCTCGCCTCCAGAGACAGAAGAAAGTCTTCTCAAAGCAGCACGGTGGGAAAGAGACACACTTCTGTTTATGTTTGGCTCCCTCTAGTGGTGAATCAGTTAATGCTCGGGGTTTTCCCGCCTCTAAAAAGCATAAAAACCATACCAGCCCAGCAAACCTGCTCACCATAGATCTGCTAGCATTGCTATCAACAGCTTAGCGACACAGTCATCCTTCTAGCTGCTGACGGCCTCATGGTGGGAACAGCTCCTCGTTTCACTAAAAGAAGTTTAGCAAATCCTGCTTAGAACCGTCCAACATTTTGAAATCTGTCTTCAGTAAAATGCTTTGAGCAAATGAACATCTGAGCATCAAACTTTGCAGGAATCTTCAGGTGGACTAAAATAATCCATGCCTGTCGAGTCTTTGGATCCTTGGGAAGACTGAAAATGTTCCTCTTCCTCCGGTCAGCCTGGAACGCTGCATTTCCTCCCGTGGTTCATCTTCAATAGAGAAACTTCCTGCTCTGTAATTCTGTAGCAGTAAACCCACCTGTAGGCTGAACAGCTAAACTGCTGTCTGCCATCTTCCTCTATTCATGTTCCTGGGCCGTGACCCAGTGGGCTGGGATGGATGTTAATTTCTGGGTGTTATAAAAGTCCAGACCAGAACCAAATAAGGCAACATCCCTGAGTTTACGTCACTCTGAGCTTCGTTTGGATTCACTGTTTTATGGTGGAAGTTTAGAATAGTGAGATTTGCAGAGAAAGGAGGAGTTGATGGAGTTTAAATGTCCCTTTCACCCCCTGAACCTTCGTTATTCATCTATGATGATGGTCACGCATTCTGTGACCCATTAAGGTCGACCTCAGTAACCTTTAAAGGGGCGGTGCTTTTTAAAACGCGCTGTAATGACTTTCAAAGATTCAAAGCGTATAAAGATGCGAAGCTCAGACTCTCCATGCTTGGTCCTCCAGGGAAGGCGTTCCTTCGGGCGCGCCAGATGAACGTGGACATCGGGACGTGGGTGCGGCTGCTCCGGAACGCCATCCCCACGGTGAACAACTCTGGAACCTACAGTCCCAACGCTCACAGCCTGAGTCTGGGCCCCGGGTGAGAGCCGCCACCGCCCAAACGCCTTCCCTCCATCCTCTATCCTGTCTCTCCCGGTGACCGGGCGTGTCTAAATGCTCCTGTTGTGTTTTGTCTGTCCGTCGCCGTGGCAACGTCTCTGTTCGTGTCAAACTTTCAGGGAGATCTCAGTGGAGAAACTGAGTCTGGACAACGAGTCTCCGATCAGAGGAGACTACCGGAGAGAGACGGACACTGTGACTCCACTGAGGCAGATAGAGAGGGAGGACAGTCGGGATGTGGGGGAGGTGTGTCATCAGGGATCATTTTAACTTTTATTCTCATTTAAAAGGAAGAAATATTCATTTGAAATGTCAGAATAAGATGGACGCATATTTTAAGGTCAGAGAAAGCAGCACAGATGTTTTCCTCCCAGCCTCGTCTTCCTCACCCTGTTTCCTCATGTCTGCCTCCTACCGTTCTCTGAAAGGACCCCCCAGCGGACATCGAGTCCCTCTCTCCTCTGGTCCCCGAGTCCCCTGTCCGAACCCCGTCCGCCGGCAGGTACAGACACGGCGTGGGCAGCTTCTATGCTGTTAGTTCTATGGTGTTTTTAAAATGGTCTGTTGATGGTTCCTGTTGTCCTCAGGCAAAGGAAAGGACCGCTGTCCCTGCAGGACTTCAGGCTGATTGCTGTGTTGGGGAGGGGCCACTTTGGGAAGGTAAACCTGGGTTTCTGGTTCTTCCTGCTTCAAATAAATCACATCATAAAAAGATGATTTTATACTTTATCAACGGAATCAGAAGGAATGAAGCTTTATGTCCACCTTGGTTCAAAGTGTTTATCGCTGAGCCTTGCTAGCAGGGCCGCTTCTAGACGGGACGGGGCCCCGTCCTAACCTGAGGCGGGGAAAGCTGGCTCACATTTTCACCGCCATCTTTACCTTCCTAAACAAACCAGTCCAGTTTTATTCCTTCCATTCCAGTTAGATGGGAATCATTAAATTCACCAAATGAGGATTTAAAACTTTCAAATTCAGAATCACAAGAAAATTCGTATTTCGGATGGAATCATTTAATCCCAGACATCAAATAAAAAATTGTTAAAACTTTATTTAATTATTTTAATTCCTATCAGAATAATTATTGTTGTCATTAATATAATTCATGCTGTTTAATAAAGACGCTGATTATTAGAGTTTATAGTAGAAATACATAGAAATGATTTTATTGATCAAATGAGACGCAAAAATAAACTGATCCTAAATATGAACGTAGAAAATCTGAGAACAGAATAATCCTCCTTTTTTAGTGGATGAATAAATCTGTCCATTCTTTACCCACCTTTGAACATAGATATGCTCCTTTTGCTCTAAATCTATGTCTCTATATCACATTATTATTGGGGATGTTCTGATCAGCTGCTGTTCTCTCTCTGAGCATCATTATTATTATTATTTTAATATTATTCTAAAATATAATAAATGATCAAAGTGGGTTTGATTCCATCATATTGGATCAAAATCCTTATTGGTTATTTATTTTAAAAACAAAAGATGAAAAAGTAGCTTTAGAGACGTCATGTTTGCTCGGCTTAAATCTTTATAGGGCAGGTTAGTGTTTCTGATATCCCCCCCACCCCTCAGTGAGATCTAGAAGCACTAGATCTATGTCCATCCATTCAGCAGATCCTGCTACATAGCTCTACATCTGATTTTGACATTTGACCAATTAGATGAATCCTTGAATGATAGATTACTAATTGGAAATGAAGATGAAAAAAAAAGAGTTAAAAAATCAAAAGTTAATTAAAAGTTAAAAAGTAAAGTGGTCGACCCCACTTGGGTTTAAGCGTGTCAGGACATGAATGGATGGAAAATAAAGTTAAAAGTTAATAATCCTTGTTAAAAATGATATTTATGTTTCTAAACTAAAACCTGTCCGTTCCAGGATCATTAATGCCTCTAAGGTTTTGTTGGACCAAATAAAATGTTTCTCATCAATTTCTTCTAGAAGCACTTTTGTAATTTTTCTTAATATATTCGGGAAAGTTTTTATTACATGGACATACATTTTTCCCATCAAAATATCCAGATTTTCTGAATGTTATAAAAGTTTAAAATGAAACTATTGGCTGGAAGTGTTGGTTTTCACTGAGCGTCCTATAAAGGGTTAAAGAAGAGCGTTTGTGTTTCTGCAGGTGCTGCTGTCGGAGTACAGGAAGACGGGCACCATGTACGCCATCAAAGCCCTGAAAAAAGGTGACATCATCGCTCGGGATGAGGTGGACAGGTGCGTGACGGATCTGATCTCCTCGCCTGCAGCGTTGCAGCTCATCTGATGCTTTTCTCTCTTCGCTCCCAGTCTGATGTGTGAGAAGCGCATCTTTGAGACGGTCAACGTGTCTCACCATCCCTTCCTGGTCAACCTGTTTGCGTGCTTCCAGACGCCGGAGCACGTTTGCTTCGTGATGGAGTACACGGCGGGAGGCGACCTGATGATGCACATCCACACGGACGTCTTCACGGAGCCCCGAGCCGTGTACGTAGCCTCTTCCTGTTCCATATAAGGACAAGAAGGTTTTCCTCTGTTGCCTGGGAAACCGCATCCAGCCTCTTTCATGGCCTCATTAAGGGTTTTAGTTTGAAAATCATTCGTTTTCTTTACCTTAAGTTCACGCGGTTCTGGAGAGAATATAGTGTGAATGAATGGAACAGCTGAGACAGCAGCTGGTGGAGGAGCTGATGTTTGGAGCTCTGATTACCTTTGGTTGTTCCTTTGCTTCCAGCTTCTATGCTGCCTGCGTTGTTCTTGGACTCCAGTTCCTTCATGACCATAAGATCGTGTACAGGTGAGTGACGCGTCGCCACACGTCTGACCTGGGACGTCCTCAGAGCTTTGGCTCAAAGCTTCTGGAGCTGATTTGATTCTCTGGATTATAGAGCCGCTCCTAGAAGCTGCAGAGCCGGAATAGAAACTGTTGTTAGAAACTTTGTGTGAGGAAAGGTCTGTTCTTCTTCCCTTTGCTCCCAGAGACCTGAAGCTTGATAACCTGCTGCTGGACACCGATGGCTACGTGAAGATCGCAGACTTTGGGCTGTGTAAAGAAGGTGGGCTGGACGTTACATCGGGGTCAGAGGTCAGAGGTCAGAGTCACCCTTTATTTTCCCTTTCTGGTTGCAGGGATGGGCTTTGGGGACCGGACCAGTACCTTCTGTGGGACGCCGGAGTTTCTGGCCCCAGAGGTTCTGACGGATACGTCTTACACCAGAGCCGTGGACTGGTGGGGGCTCGGGGTCCTCATCTATGAAATGCTGGTGGGGGAGGTGAGAACGGGTCACTGCTTGGAGCCGATGGGCTCAGAAACTAAAGCTTAAAGGAATAGTACACCCAAAACATGATTAGCCTTCATTTTCTACTCACCCCCATGCTGAACAACACTCTGGAGTACTTTTTTGATATCTCAAATGCATCTGGAGATCTGGGAGGCTTCTTGCTGTCTGCTGACATTCAAATAATGGAGGTCTATGGCGCCCGAGGCAGAAAGGTCCATAAAAGTCCACAAAAAACGTGTCAATATTCCTCCATACTGCTCGTCCAATGTATTCCAAGTGTCCTGAGTGGGTAGCGTCCAGAATTTACTCGAAACGAAGTCATTTAGAATGTTTTTAGAGCATAAACAGTAGTGTATAGGATTTCCTGAAAGCGCGTTCACGAGTCTACGGAAGCCGCGGCAGACCAAACCAGATGAAAGTGCGCATTCAGCGTCTGCTCTGCCGATAATGCAAGCGTAGAAGAAGAAATGTGCTGTTTACCTGTGCAAAGAAAGAAACAACGAAAGAAAAATTTCTGAGGACTTCAGTGTTGAGGAAGAGCATGAGTTCTTTGCCGAGCTGAATGCGCTGGTTTGGTCTGCCGGCTTCCGTAAACTCGTGAACGCGCTTTTAGGAAATCCTATACACTACTGTTTATGCTCTAAAAACATTCTAAATGACTTCGTTTCGAGTAAATTCTGGACGCTACCCACTCAGGACACTTGGAATACATTGGACGAGCAGTATGGAGGAATATTGACACGTTTTTTGTGGACTTTTATGGACCTTTCTGCCTCGGGCGCCATAGACCTCCATTATTTGAATGTCAGCAGACAGCAAGAAGCCTCCCAGATCTCCAGATGCATTCGAGATATCAAAAAAGTACTCCAGAGTGTTGTTCAGCATGGGGGTGAGTAGAAAATGAAGGCTAATCATGTTTTGGGTGTACTATTCCTTTAATGAAGGCAGGAAGGACTCTGTCTGCTCCGGCTGTGCAGCTGCTCCTCTGGCTGGAATATCTCATTCCTTCCATGGATTCACCTCAAAGCAGATCTTTTCTAAACAGACTTCATTTGCTCACATTTCTGATAAAGTTTCTCTAATTAATGAGGTTTGGCTCCTTTTCTTTGGGTCAAGAGTTTCTGGAAGATGAGAAGGAGGCACTTTGTGCAAGAAGAAAGGTTCAGATTTATCTAACATCCTCAGACTGATTTATGTGATTTATACTTTGAAACCAGGTCGTCTGCGTAGGTGTCGCAGTGAACGCAAAGACAGAGTGTTTACAAAATGAAATTTCACTTACTGCAGCTTTCAGACTTTAAATGAACATTTTCATTCTTTAAAGTTCAGCAGTGATCAAATATAAACAGTTTGGGAGAAAAAACATGAAGCAAAAAAACCTGCATTGATCTGGAAGTTCAGAGCATTAATATAAATGATGCAAATATGCAGTTGGTTTTATCAGTGAGATGCAGAGTCTGAAACATGATTGAGTTTCCTCATCAGTTCATCAGTGTGATGGCGGTGGGGAAGAAGCTGCTGCAGAACCTGCTGGTCCTGCATTGAATGCTGGGAAGCCTCTTCCCAGAGGGCAGCAGGGAGAACAGTCCATGGTGGGGGGGTGAGGGGTCATTGATGATGTCACGGCCTCCAGAGCCAGAAACGTTAACGACACTGGAACCAACCTCAGACCAGATGCTGATTGGCTCCTTCTGCCTTTTTACTCTCAGAAAACAGGGTAACCATGGAAACACTCGCCTGATTGGCTCAGGCAACAGGAAGTGAGCAAACCTCTCTGTTTGAAAGGAGGAAAACTGGACAAAGACGTTGATGTAGAGAAGCGACTGTTTTTAGGGAATGTTGCTTCAATCCTGCTGGATAAAAAGAGACGAATTTAAAAAAATAAGATATTTTATTTGTTCTCCTTTTTAGTATTTAGAAGCATCAATTGGAGTTCAGGCTCCTCCTCCTGGTGCGAGCATTTAGTGATGCTGTTCACTAGTAGAGGCTGTTTTACAGACGGACCAGATCAACGTCCAGCGAAGCACGTTTCTACTCCCTCCTCATGGCGGCCATGTTAATCTAACCGCCATTTCGTTTCTCTAGTCGCCGTTTCCTGGTGATGATGAAGAGGAAGTGTTCGACAGCATCGTGAACGACGAAGTCCGCTATCCCCGCTTCCTCTCCACGGAGGCCATCGGCATCATGAGACGAGTAAGAACCATAGAAGGCTGCAGGTTTGGTTACCATAGCAACCGCCATGTTTAGGGAAGGTGTCAGAGAATGAAGCAGAAGTCGATTCTCTGTGATGCGGTTTGTTGGTTTTAACGGACGCTGTGATTGGTCGCTTGTTGTCTGCAGCTCTTACGGAGGAATCCGGAGCGACGGTTGGGATCCGGGGAGAAGGATGCAGAGGAAGTGAAGAAGCAGCCATTTTTCAGAGTAAGTCCACGTCAGACTGAGCGTCCAATGAGCTGCTCTCCTCCTTAACGCTGCTCTCCTCCGTCAGAACGTGGACTGGGAGGCTTTGCTGCAGAAGAAGGTCCCGCCTCCCTTTGTCCCTTCTATCCGCGGCAAGGAAGACGTCAGCAACTTCGACGAAGAGTTCACCATGGAGCCCCCGGCGCTGACGCCCCCGCGGGAGCCGCGCACGCTCTCCCGCAGAGACCAGGAGAGCTTCGGGGACTTTGATTACGTCTCTGATCTCTGCTAGAGAAGCGGGACCAGGGAAGAACGTCAGATTGTCTGCGAGGCGCTGTTGAAGTTTCCTCCCCCACGGGGGCGGACGCTCTCTGGCCGCCATGTTGTTGAATGATGCTGTGAACGAACGCAGAGACAAAGCGGGATCAGACGACCCGCCATCTGCCGCCGTGAGGGGAGGAGTCACAACCCGATGCCTTACATTTTTACCTCTGTGTGTTTTTGATCCTTTAGGAAAAGTGTGCAGTGCTAAAAAAATCTGTTGGAAATTAGGGGATTATTAATCTGATGTGATTTTTAAATGGGGGGGTGGGGGGGGGTATAAAACCACTGATGTGGGTGATGTCCACTAGCTTCTCTCTAAACTCTGCTGCTTTTATTTTTATTTTAACGTATTTAAGCGTTTTTCAGCAGTTTTTTTATGACTTTGATTGATGGATGTAATTTAAAGTCAGTCAGCACTGAAACCATGAACACTAAACTGTGACGTAAGATGCCTTCAGGGACCTCTGGAGAAAATCAGCCACTTTAAGCTGGTTTGGTGACTTTCATTTGGAAAGCTGTCAAAAATTAGCAGCAATATTTATGGTTATTTAGAGAAAAATAAGGTTTATTGTTTTAATTCATTCATTTATACTAATCTGACTTTGTTAAATAAATATTTATTTTGCAAACTAAATATTTAGCTCCAAACTAACTATTTATTAAACAAAGTTAGACTTTTATAAATGAATGAATTACAAAGTGAAAAAATGAACTTAAAAAAATAAGCCCTTATTTTTTTTTCTAAATAACCATAAATATTGCTGCTTATTTTTAACAAACGGATACGAGACACGGCGCCGCATACGAGACGATTGGGTTTCAGGAGTCGGTAGTGAAATGTAGGATGATGAAGATGATGATGATGAAGAACACATGAGACGCCATCTTTTATAAAGAAACCTGCAGTGAACCGCGTGGCTGTGTTTCATTTATGCTAACGTCTACATTTCTTTTTATAAAACTCAGTAAAATCTTTAGAACGGAGCAGATATTTAATCTAACAAAGCTACATCCTCACAGATTAACGTCTTTGAACTTTAATCTAGGTTAAAGAAAGCTAAACATGTTGATTTTTAATCTCAGTTTATGCGCCATCTTCCCCGATGGCTGTGAAGGATCGATCCATCCTCACTGAGAAGCAATGAGTCATGGGAATGTAGCCAGCAGCAATAAAAACTTTATTTGAGAAGCATCAAAGTTTATCATTTATATTTATGCAAGTAATAGTAAGTATTTTAATTAAAAAAGGAGGTTTGTTCTCAGTTCTATTCAGTTTATTTCTATAGCTACAATTCACATCATGTCATCTCAGGTCACTTTCCAGTTCACCAGATCATCCAGTCAGATTGATTCAAAGTTTTCTTTCTAAGGAAAACCAGCTGATTGCATTGACTCTTCAGCAATCCCTCACACTAAGCATGCTTGTAGCGACAGTGGAGAGGAAAAACTCCCTTTGAACAGGAAGAAACCTCAAGCAGAACCAGGCTCAGTGTCACAGCCAAACAGGAACAGACCAGATGAAGCTACTATGAGAAAAAGCAAAGACTCTGGTCCAAAGACTAGTTTCTCAGCATCACCCCTGGACAGGAGATTGCTCATTTTTGCAATATTCCTCAGATGAAAGAAGGAAATTCTAGAAACCTCTTTGATCTGGGATTTAAATGACAGGTCCTGATCAAAAACAACACCAAGATTTTTTACTTTATTATCTGAAATCAGTTTAATCCCATCCAAATGAAGTGACTGGCTAATCAGTTTCTTTTTCAGAGACTCTGGTCCAAAGACTATAACTTCTGTTTTGTCTGCATTCAGAAGCAGAAAATTAAGAGTCATCCAGGTTTTTATGTCTTCAGACATGCCTGTAATCTATGTAATGGGTTAGCTTCATCTGGATTATAGACAGATATAGCTGGGTATCATCAGCATAACAGTGGAAATTAATCCCATGCTGTCTAATAACTCTACCAATTGGGAGCATGTATAAAGTAAAGAGAATTGGTCCTAGCACTGATCCCTGTGGTACTCCACAGGTAACCTTGGAGCATGAGGAAGATCTATCATTAACATGAACAAACTGAATTCAATCAGATAGATCAGATTTAAACCAGTCTAGAGCTGTTCCTTTAATTCCAACAAAATATTCAAGTCTTTCTAAAAGAATATTATGGTCAACTGTATCAAATGCAGCACTAAGATCCAACAGGACGAGCACAGATACAAGTCCATTATCTGAGGCCATGAGAATATCATTAGTGACTTTCACCAGAGCTGTTTCAGTGCTATGATGAGCTCTAAAGCCAGACTGAAACTCTTCAAAAAGTTCATTATGGTGGAAGTGATCGCAAACTTGTTTGGCAACTACTTTCTCAAGAATTTTGGATAAGAAAGGAAGATTGGATATAGGTCTATAATTGACCAAGTCATCTGGGTCAAGAGAAGAAACAGTCCTTTACAGAGATTATTACTGCGGGTCTAAATATTTCCATTAGTCAATCGGCTAAACTCCAGAAACTTCCTTTCTTCTTCTTTGTAAATGTCTCCCAGAACTTTTGGAACGACGTCGCTGCTCTGATATCTACTCAAAAGTCTTTTTCTCAATCTCAGAAGTCTGACTTTTTTCTGAGAATTGTGGAACGTAATGTAGATGGGCACCATGAAGGCAGAGATGTGGAGCACTCTATCTAGCTGTCAGAATTCAGACAGAACTCTGAGATTAAAGTTAGACTTCTGAGATTTTATTTTAATTTTCTCGTAGTGTCATCCTTTTTCTCTCAGTTATTCACTCTTATCTAAATTAAAGTTAAATTCTAATTGACTCTTAGTTTATTCACTGTTTTTAATGCACTTATTGTTTTAAAATGATCATTTAAAATCCTCATTCACATTTTCCCCTAAATTTTCACATTATGATAAATGTTTACATTATTTATTGGCTGCATCTAAAATTATCAAATATATTTTCAATTTAAACATAGATATGAAATAATAGAATGAAATCATTGTTCTAGGTCCATTCATCAGACAGAGAGGGGGGCGGGTTCCACCCTGGACAGAGGGGAGGGGGGTCGCCAGTTCTAGGTCATCAATTCAATTCAGTTCAGTTCATTCTGTCCAATCAGCTGCCTGTAGTGTCTGTAAATGCCCAGCAGGTGTCAGTATTCTGCTATAGCTTCCAGATGCCTCATCAAACCCTCACTAGACGATGATGGAGGCAGCTATGGACATTATAAACGCAGACGCCTCATTGGACGCTGTCTGACGTGCCTAGAGGGCGGCCATCTTGGATGGGCCTACAGATCATTCTGCTGCAGTCAGAATAAACAGGAAGAGCCTTAGATCTAATTTAGATCCCATGAAAGAGGAGTCAGAAATAATATTACAATAATCTGACACGTCACAACAACTTAAAAGACCAAAACTACCTTTCAGTTAAATTACAGATTTATTCAGATTAAAAACTATTGAAACTGAACTCAAACTGGATGAGATATATGAAGTTATATAGTTTGCAATTAAATATTAATATAATAAACAAAAAGTTTTACATGTTTTACAAATAATATGTATTTTTATTCAGTATTTTAAAGGATTGCTCTTTGATAATGAGTATTATGATCTATAGAGGAAAATTTGCTGTAACCACTGATCGCTTGTTGGTAGCACGGGGCCGCCGGCCGCCATATTGGTACTCCCTAGTCAAACCGGTCGCAACGGAAACTATCCTTGAGCTACAGGATTGAACATTGATGATGTCATTTTCAGACTTTTTCATAGCATCAATAGATTAACTTTAACTCAAAATAAATAAATCGGGCCATCACATTGCAGTCATTATGAAGTCTATAAATCATATAACATAATATACAAATCCATATATTGGTATTATTTAAACATGTGTTGATGATATGACTTGAGTCAGTCTGAGATAGCCAGACTAATGTTAGTCTGCAGACTATAGTCGGCTATAGATGGATTTATTGCTTAGTTCATTCAGACTGGGAAATGACCTGAGGAACGTCTTCCTGGTTTTAGCAGCTAAATGATGCACATGGAGGCATTTTACTGCCACTGTGGGAGTGGGGAGTACCAACATGGCGGCCGGTGGCTTCACTTTTTTCAGGCAATCAGCAATCCAGTGCACAAATAGAGATCAGTAGTCGTAATGTGATTTACAAAAGAGAATAGTTATTTCATTCTTTTAAATTAGTTTTCATTGTCGAGCCTTTTCTGTCAAACCTTAACGAATGCTAAATTTATGTAGTCTCACTAAAGGCTTTCTCTCATTTGTCTAAACTTCTTCCAAAACTCTTTTTTTAATCATTTATGAACATGAGACATTTGTTCTTTAATCAGTAAATATCTCTCATATATGTTTATATTTTAGAATTAGTTTTGGTCTTTTAAGTGACGTGTCAGATTATTGTAATATTATCTCTGACTCGTCTTTCATGGGATTAAAATGAGATCAAAGGCTCCTCCTGTTCATTCTGACTGCACTGTGGTCTGATCCAAGATGGCCGCCCTACATGGGGCGGGGGCTAATGAGGGGAAGCAGTTGGACGAAGTCATCAGGAAGCCGGTTCAGTCCCAGTATGGTAGAAGTTTCCCAACAGTCAGAAACCAGCGGACGGCATCACGCCGGGCTTCTCACGCCTTTACGGCCATTTTGTTCAGAGAAAGGTCATTCTATTTAGTGCAGCTCTCAGTGAACCAGCAGCTTAGCAGTAAAAGAACATTTCCATTCATTAAACACTGTGGGAGGGAAAAAAACATCGATGTGGAAATTTAGAGCAACTGAATTCTGAAGCTCCAGCATAAACTGCTCTGATTAACCAGCCACTCTATGCATGTAGCTCTATGATCTAATTATTTTACATTTTAAGGATTAAACTTTGTTACTTAGACATCCTTTGAAGCTGTGAAGACAGAAGGCCTCAGTGGCAGACTGTCACCCCTGCTGGCCACCAGGTGGCGCACCAGTTTGTTCAATTGATGCAGCTACTGTAACAGGACTAATCCTGGAAATTAAAAATGACAAATAAAAGGAGAGGAATAGAAGTTTATTTATTTAAAATCAACAATGATTTAATTTCATTCAACAGTTCCTGGTATTAAGTCTCCATTTCAAAACATTTCAAACATCAGAGGAATAATTTATTTAATATTAACTAGAAAAATAAACTTTCCTCTAGATGAAAACTCTACAGCTCCACCCAAAAACATACTTAATATGCAGTGAATATTCTCCAGTGTCCAAATATGGTTTAGTTT